ATTGACCACCACCTTCCGCTCCCACTGGGGGTCCGAGGGGCCTGAGTCCAGGAGAATCCACGCAGACATATACGCTGGGGCTAGGAGTGAGAGCCAGTCTGCCACCCCGCCCATCTGACTAAACAGCTCTATGGCCTTGGGACCCAGGAATGGGGCTAGCCTTTCCTGTCTCTCATGGTCCTCTGACTCCTTCGATCTCAGCTCCAATTCCATCCATCTCAGATCCACCGATGGGGAACCCGGTGGAGACCCCCATGCTGGTCAGGGACACGGGTCTCCAGGACACTAGGCTGCTCCCAGCCTATCTTGTGGCCCCAGCTGGGTCAGGAACCAGTGTGAACCCTGGGGCTGCCTGGCTGCTTCCAGCCTCTCTCGCGGCCCCAGCTGGGTTAGGAACCGGCTCCTTAGAGCGATCCTCGTCTTCCAACTGAGCAGTCAGCTGTGCCTTAGTGAGCTTTCCAATACGCAGCCCCCTCTCTCTGCACAGCTCTACAATGTCCTTCTTAAGGAGATGGTTATAGACCATCTCCACGCTGTTCCCAAGTGGTCACGGACTCACAGGCCTGGGCTCTCTCAACTCCCCCACGGTCCCTGGGAGGAACCTGAGACGATGTGCAGTCTATATGGTTTTATAAAATATGGTAATGAGTGAATATTATGTAACTGGAATATGCTTCATGCAAAAGGTCTCTTGTAAGGTATCATTACAAAGCTTATAATCTACTGAGTGTGATCATCCTATTTGTATAAATGTACCACTCTTGTATCTGGAACTAGAAATATGAAATATAACTCTGAGGGCCTATTGTAATTATGCAAAGTGGTTTGGAATCTTGATGACTCCCATTAACCAGGACCATTGTCTGCAGATGGCTGTGTTTACCTGTGAGTCTTCCTGTATATGTGTGTGCTGGCAAGTGGGCAATGAAGTCTTGCAGTGACATGTGATCATGTCACCTGAACTGGAATCCACCTTTAACCTGGTGCTTTTCCAGTGAGGGGGGGTGGAAACCCAGAGAGAGACAAAGGATTCCCGCCTTATGCAAAAGATATATAAAGGGGTGGAAGAGAACAGAGAAGGAGGGAGGAGCCATCATGAAGAATCCCCTAGCTATCACCTGAGCTGGAACAAGAGCTGTGCCAGGGGAAAGAATTGTGCCCAGGCCTGGAAGGTGTCCAGTCTGAGGAAAAAACTTACTGAAGCATCTCTGAGGGTGAGATTATCTGTATTCAGTTTGATTAGACGTTTTATTTTATTTTGCTTGGTGACTTACTTTGTTCTGTCTGTTACTACACCTCTACCCCGATATAACGCGACCCGATATAACACAAATTCAGATCTAACGTGGTAAAGCAGTGCTCTGGGGGGGGCTGCGCACTCCGGCGGATCAAAGCAAGTGGTAAGATTTTTTGGCTCCCGAGGACAGTGTTATATCGGAGTAGAGGTGTACTTGGAACCACTTAAATCCAGCTTTGAGTTAATTAATAAGTCAAAAGTGATTTTATTAAATACAGAGTATGTATTAATACCTGGGGGAGCAAACAACTGTGCATATCTCTCTATCAGTGTTATAGAGGGCGAACAATTTATGAGTTTACTCTGCATAAGCTTTATGCAGGGTAAAACGGATTTATTTGGGTTTAGACCCCATTGGGAGTTGGGCATCTGAGTGCGAAAGACAAGCACACTTCTGTGAGCTGTTTTCAGGTAAACTTGCAGCTTTGGGACAAGTAATTCAGACCCTGGGTCTGTGTTGGAGCAGACGGGAGTGTCTGGCTCAGCAAGACAGGGTGCTGGAGTCCTGAGCTGGCAGGGAAAACAGGAGCAGAGGTAGTCTTGGCACATCAGTTGGCAGCTCCCAGGGGGGTTTCTGTGATCCAACCCATCACAGAACCCCTTCAGTGCAACAGCTTTATCGGGGGTCCACTCTCTCTCGGGGTTGAGCCGTAGGCTCCTCCGCCTCCTGGAACCGCACCTCTCTGAGCCTTCAGCATGCCTGTCCCCAGGGCCGGTGCAAGGATATTTTGTGCCCTAGGCAAAACTTCCACCTTGCGCCCCTCCTCCCCCTCCCCTCCCCCCGGAGCATCGCTTATTATAAACTTTCAAAAATGAATACAGTAGTGTAAAAAAAATTGGGGGGCACCACTTTTTGGCGCCCCCAAATCTTGGCAACCTAGGCGGCCGCCTAGTTCGCCTAGCAGTTACACCGGCCCTGCCTGTCCCTCGGACTCTCAGGCCTCTGCTCTCTCAGCTCCCCACTATCCCTGGGAGGAACCCCTTCAGTGCGACAGCCCATCTCGGGGGTCCACCTCTCTCAGGATTAAGCCTCCGCCTCCTGGAACCGCACCTCTTGGAGCCTCCAGCACGCCTGCCTAGCCATTCGGTCCCTAGTCTGTAGCAGTGCATGGCATTCTTTAAGTACAGGACTCTGCACTTGTCCTTGTTGAACTGCATCAGATTTCTTTTGGCCCAATCCTCTAATTTGTCTAGGTCCCTCTGTATCCTATCCCTACCCTCCAGCGTATCTACCACTGCTCCCAGTTTAGTGTCATCTGCAGACTTGCTGAGGGTGCAATCCACACCATCCTCCAGATCATTAATGAAGATATTGAACAAAACCGGCCCCAGGACCGACCCTTGGGGCACTCCGCTTGATACCAACTGCCAACTAGACATGGAGCCATTGATCACTACCCGTTGAGCCCGACGATCTAGCCAGCTTTCTATCCACCTTATAGTCCATTCATCCAGCCCATACTTCTTTAACTTGCCGGCAAGAGTACTGTGGAAGACTGTATCAAAAGCTTTGCTAAAGTCAAGGAATAACACGTCCACTGCTTTCCCCTCATCCACGGCGCCAGTTATCTCCTCATAGAAGGCAATTAGGTTGGTCAGGTATGACTTGCCCTTGGTGAATCCATGCTGACTGTTCCTGATCACTTTCCTCTCCTCAAAGTGCTTCAGAATTGATTCCTTGAGGAATCCCCACTTTGTCAAACGGGGGGTTCTGGGTCTCACTGCCCTGTGTCTCGGGGGGGTACGGGGGGTACTGAGTCTCACTGCCCTGTGTCTTGGGGGGTACCAGAGGGCTGCTCTGTCTCGGGGTGGGGTACAGGGAGGGTGCTGGGTCTCACTGCCCTGTGTCTTGTGGGGGTATAGGGGGGTGCTGGATCTGACTGCCCTGTGTCTCGGAGGGGTACAGGAGGGGTGCTAGGGTCTCACTGCCCAGTGTTTCGGGGGGGCACAGAGGGTACTTGGTCTCACTGCCTTGTGTCTTGGGGGGCCAGTTAAGGGGGTGCTGTGTCTCACTTCCCTGTGTCTCGGGGGGGCACAGGGGGGTGCTGGGTCTCACTGCCCTGTGTCTTGTGGGGGAAAGGGGGATATTGGGTCTCACTGCCCTGAGTCTCAGGGGGGCATGGAGGGGGTGCTGGGTCTCACAGCCCAGTGTCTCGGGGGGGGCGCAAGGGGAGTGTGGGGTCTAACTGGCCAGTGTCTCGGAGGAACAGGGGGATGCTGGGTCTCACTGGCCAGTGTCTCAGGGGGGTGCAGGGGGTGTCTTGGGGTTTGTGTTGGGGGGTGCTGGGTCTCACAGCCCAGTGTCTTGGGGGGCAGAGGAGGTGCTCAGTCTCACTGCCCAGTGTCTCAGGGGGGCGCAGGGGGTGTCTCGATGGGCGGGTTAGGGGGGTGCTGGGTCTCACTGCCCTGTGTCTCGGGGAGGGGTGTAGGAGGGTGTAACGAAGCGGCCTTTGGCGGGACACTAGTGAGAGTATCAATTCAGGACAAATTACTTAGAGCAGGGCAGTCACAGCCCAAGGCTGGGGGTCCTTCACTACTAAGGCATCACTAAACCAGCCAGACAGAGAGGACTTCGGTTTTACCCCACTGGCTAACCAGAAGTTATACAAGCAATTCCCTTAGACACTCCAGTTTCCCAGTATCACCACCAGTGCCACTCCTTATGGGGATGAATGGTTATGAAAACCAATACCCCAGTAAAAGAAAAAAGATTCTCCCGATCCCAAAGGCCCGAGCCCCAGACCCAGGTCAATATACAAGTCAGATCTTACCCACAAATCACGCTGTTGCCAATCCTTTAGGATCTAAAATCTAAATGTTTATTCATAAAAAGAAAGAAATACAGATGAGAGTTAAAATTGGGTAAATGGAATCACAGTAATGGCAAAGTTCTTGGTTCAGGCTTGTAGCAATGATGAAATAAACTGCAGGTTTAAATCAAGTCTCTGGAGCATCCCCAGCTGGGATGCGTCATTCAGTCCTTTGTTCAGAGCTTCAGTTTGTAGCAAAGTCCCTCCAGAGGTAAGAAGCAGGATTGAAGACAAAATGGAGGGGTTTCCAGGGCCTTTTATATCCTCTGCCATGTGGAAGGACACCCCTTTGTTCTTACTGTGGAAAATCACAGCAGCAAGATGGAGTTTGGAGTCACATGGGCAAATCACAAATCAGGTAGAGCAGCCATTGCTCACATGGTACCTTGAAAGTTCCCAGGAAAACTCAGATGTGGATTGGCGTCTCCCACAGTCCATTGTCAGTTAAGTGTTTCTTGATTAGGCACTTACTGAGAATAGTCCTTTCTCAAGAAGCTGACCAAATGCTTCACTAATGCTACTTAGAATCAAACATTGAGATACAAGTACATAGCCCATATTCATAACTTCACATACAAAAATGATACACACATACAGACAGCATAATCATAACCAGCAAATTGCAACCTTTTCATAGACACCTTACTTGACCTCCTTTGTACCAGATTTGGTGCAACTCTAGGATCTTGGTTGCAACAATGATCTATACGGTCACAGTTCATGTCAATAACGTCACAGGGAGTGCTGGGTCTCACTGGCTAGTGTCTCAGGGGGAACAGGGTCTCACTGCCCTGTGTCTTGGGGGGACACAGCAGGTTCCTGGGTCTCACTGCCTTGTGTCTCGGGGGGGAGGTTTTAGGGGGGTACTGGGTCTGACTGCCCCATGTCTGCAGGGGGGAGCCGGCGTTGCAGAGGCCCGAGGTGCTGCGGGATTTCTCCCGCTCGTCATCCAGCGCCAGCAGCTTCGGCAGCGTGGTGGAGGAGAACGAGGGTGCTGACGATGACACGGGCGCAGTAAGTCAGGATGGAGCTTGGTGCACTGGCCCCTTTCCCTGCCCTCTCAGCCTCGGGCTGGAGGGGCCCTTGCTGCACAGTCGGGTCCCTGCTGGCCACGGGGCACTGAGGGGGGATCGCAGCCATGGAGCCTGTCTCCTGAGTGGGGGGTCCCTGTCAGCAGGGACGGGGGGGCTCAGTGGCTGGGGAGGACCCAGCATCCTCAGCTGGGAGGGGACTCTAAGTCTTCCAGGAAGAGCCCATTTCCAGAGCTCATCAGCCGGGGAATGTCTGCCTCACCGCCCCCCATCCCTCTCCTGTGTGTGCTGCAGGAGAGCCAGGCCTCGGGGACGCCCCACAAGCGAGACTCCTTCATCTACAGCACGTGGCTGGATGACAGCCTCAGCACTGCCAGCGGGGGGAGCTCTCCAGGTACCTGACCGGGACCCCACCCAGTGCGGCCCCAGCCACCGCTGGCCCCTACCCCCCACACCACCTGCCCCCTCCCCCTTTCCTCTGTGCCCTCCCCCGGTGCTGCCTCTCTGAGATCCTCCTGATGCATCTATGGGGCAAGAGCCTGGCCTCTGCCACAGACCTGCCAGCAGGGGGCTGCAATCACACTGCACCGTACCCCAGCCATGGCGGGAAGGAGAGCCGAGTGCCCCCCCACCTCCCTGTTCACACACTCTGCCAAGCACCATACCACGGCACAGCGACCCCTGCTGTAGCACCTCAAGCTTCTGCGTTTGCCCGTGTGTCCACCTACCTTGCCAGCGAACAGCTCTGGGGATGGGCAAGATAGCCTGGCGTCTGGGGCTGGTTGCGCCAAAGGGGCAGACGATAATCGCTAGCTCTTGTATAACATGTCAAAGCGGTTGGGCGCTCAGATGCCATTAGCAGGGGGATCTGAGTCTCCATTTTATAGATGGGGGAACTGAGGCACCCAAGTTCACACAGCAGGCCCCTGGCAGAGCTGGGAATAGAGCCCAGGTCTCTTGAATCCCAGTGTAGTGCACTGTCCACTAGGCCGCACTGCTTCCCATGCTGGGTGGAGAGCTGGGGGGGTTGGGGCATACACACTGTTTGGGGAGTGGAGCCTCAGGGGCCCGTAGCATCAGGAAAAGAACTGCAAGGGTTCAAACTTTCCAGCTGGCTGGAAATCTTCCTGCTGCCAGCTCAGGGGGCACTAGAAATCCCACAGCAGGGAGATGCTGCTGGTGGGGTGTCGGGGGAAAGGCAGAGCCCTGAGTTCAGGCCATGGCAGGGCTGAAGCTGCCGTCTCTGCTCGTGCTGCTCTACGCTGCTGGAGATAGCACAGCTAGCTGGTAATGCGCAGCACGCTGGGTTTGGCTTCAGTGTAGCCAGGTTCCTTTTTGTGCCTCTCGGGAAGCGTCAAGCAGCCTTAAAGGGGAGCAGAAATGGCGCCCAGTGAAGCCTGCATGTGCAGGGGGCTTCCACTGCCAGTGAACCACTGGCATGAGGCCTCTGTACCTGCCCTGCTCCCAGCCAGGGCAGGGCAGGGCAGGAGGCACACCAGGGGTGGATCAGGCTGTGGTCAGGGACGTTGCCCTGCAGCTATTCTCTAGGGTTACCATATTCAAACATTTAAAAAAGAGGCCCCGGTCCCGCCCCCGGCCCTGCCCCAACTCCGCCCCGGCCCCGCCCCAACCCCACCCCTTCTCCGCCCCCATTCCAACCCCTTCCCCAAAGTCCCTGCCCCAACTCTGCCCCCTCCTCTGAGCACCC